TGTTCATTCAGCTTAATACCAATATCTATTGATGATGTAACAAAATGCTTTTAAAGTATCAAATCTCACCTGACAAAAGAAAGAAATTTTTCTACACTATAATTTATTTTAATAGTTAATCCTGTTTTTTATTCCCAAAAAAAAATAATAAAGTTCACATCATAGCCAGAGGTGTTTGATATATTTTGTTAATTCTTTACATAAAACATAATCTATCTTTTATTGATAACATTTGTCAGTTAATTTCAATAGTTATATGATTACTATTTGAAAGTACTTGAAGTTTTATTTTATTTCAATTGTCATTCTAAACTATCACTTAAATAATCATAAAAAAAATCAACTTGAAATAGATTCTCTCCATCAACTCGTTCATATGATCAGTGATAGAAAGATTGCATGTTGTCCTTCATCTCTTCCATCTGTTCTATGTCTTGCATATATATATATATATATACAAATATATGAGATCAGACAACAAGACAATCTGCGTAAATTGAGTAATCTACTACCTCATTGATACTCTCTCGCTCTTTACATATACGTTGATTATACTAGTGAACCATAGAATAATAGTAAATGCACTTTGATCATCTCTCTTTGTTCGTCGGAATCTTTTTTTCTTCTTTTGAGAAAAAAAGAGAAATTTGAACTCATACCACCGCTGTTCCTTTCTCTTATTTCAATTAATACTTTACTCTATCATTATTCTAACTGTATATGAACGTACACATAAAACATTTAGAAACAGCAGGTCATACAATTGATTGTCGCGTACAATTGTCGTTTTTCCGCTTGTATTCAGTTTGAATAAATTCTCTCTGTTCTTTCCATTCCCGGCAGTGCACTTCCTTTCGTCGTCTTTTATAGGGGCAACAAAAAAGAAGAAGAAGAAGAAAAAAAAATGAGAGAAATCGAATCTTCAAATGAACTCAATTCTAATTGTATGTGTGCTTGAATTTAATCAGCCTAGCAGGAGGGTAAAGAGAGAAAGCAAGCAAGAAGAGTTGTTCAAGTGTATACCTTGACTAGACCACCGACAACATTAAATATCCAAATACTTATGGATCATTAAACACAGGTGAGTAATTTTCCTCTTTTCAACCTTTTCTGAATAATCGTTTTCATAAAAGAAACTTTTTTTCTTTCGTTAAATATTATTTTACAATTAGTTTTGGGTGGTAATATAAAGAAAAACAAAACAAATCTCTGTCCTTGAGTAATCTCATTGTATGTAGATAGACTATAATGAAATAAACATAACGAAAGCCGAGGGATTTATTTATATATATATATATATAAACGCGCTCGTAGATGTACGCTGTTTAATGTTCCAGTAAGATGATTTTTTTTCAATTTGCTCAAGGTCCACAATTTCTTACTCAATCTCTTTCGTTCACTCCACTATAGAACAAGATGATAATCAGTCATGCTTTTTTTTTCCTCTTTCCTAGTCCTATATACATGCATACATATACAAGCACCGAATCAAAAGTGAACATACATATATACATGTTAGACTATAATTATGTATATGTTCTTATTCTATGGACAAGACAGAGAGGAAGGGAGGGAGAGAGAAAAAAAGAGAGAGAAACGAGAGAAAGAAAAAAAAGTCATTTGAATAATGAACGAGTGATGCTGCTAGCATTACTTTAACTTTCTTTTGACATTGTTCTTCTCTATATTCTTTTTTTCATTAAGATAAAACAGAAATGTAAAAAACCACAAGAATTATAAGATAAAAGAAAAAAAAAATCTTCATATGGTTTCAGTGGTTATCATTATTTTAAATTTATTATTATCTTCATCAGTAATATTATCGGATGATTATTTGGAGAATTTATCTGTTAATACAGGTGAAACAGCAACATTTATATGTGATTTACCAGAAAAATATTCAAACAAACAAGTAAGTTCTCATGTCATTTATCATCTTTTGAGTTCTTTTTTTTTTGTATCGACAATAAAATAAGCATAATAAACATGATTACGTCGTTTTCTCACTAGGGAAATATATAATATCAGATTAGAATGACATATATAATAGAATTGATGTATTCTAGGCGGATTTCTATGGACCCACGGGACGTTTATTAATAACAAAAACTGATGAAGATATTGCAAGTGGCGATCGAACACGATTTATACTTGAACATACGTATGTTTATCAAGTTTTTTTTTTGTTTCTATATAAAAATTGAATTTATTTGTTTTGTGTTATATGTTTAGTTATGCTTGGACTTGGTCTTTGATTTTATCTGATGTATCAGATGATGATGCAGGAGAATACACGTGTCGCGTTTCATCTTCATCTGTTGATCAGACATTGACAATCATCAAACGATTTAATTTAACCGTTTTGAGTAAGCGCACATCCATATATAATCTCACATACATCTGTGACTTGATTTTCGATCAAGAAAAAGCGCTTCCGATTGTTATTTGATGAGACATAAACAATATCTTTTAACACCTACAAATTTTTTTATTCTAATATCTTGACGAGACAGTTTTTATGTAACAGAAGACTCCCTATAACATTTTTTCACAGGTTTCATTAATCGAACTATTAAACATTTCACATGTACACATATTTTGACTTTTTACTAATGGTTATAGTTCTAATGTCTAGAATCAAGTGTTTTGAAAAGTGGTAGACAGATTTGATTAAATATTCTTTTTTCTTTTTGGTTTTTTCAAAAATTTTGATTTTACTTCGATCATTTCGTTTATTTAGTAAGAATTTTTTTCCTGGTATATGCCAAATAATTTTTGGTTGTGGAATTCCTCGAGCTGAACATTTTAAAATAATTTGTTCATTTTCTCGAAGTATTTCATTGTTATTTGATTCAATTGTTATATCGATTATTTTTGGAGGTGCTAAAAAGACAAAAGAATATAGACAAAAAAAAAAAAAGAATATTTAATCAAATCTGTCTACCACTTTTCAAAACACT